GTTTCTGAATTAGCCTTTTGCACTCCAGAAAACTCCAGGTGCCCTTCAGGTGAAATTTTCAGTCTGGGAGAAAAGCTGGGGTGGGTTTCTGAGCAAAGATGAAATGATGGGAGTAAGCTTTTATTCATTTTTCTCTGAAATTCACTGGTAATGAACGGTATTGCAGGCTGGTAGCTCACTAACACAATTTGTCAGTTCTGAGTTTGGTTTTGGGACTTTTAATTTGTTTTTGTGTTTGGCCACTTTTTTCCTGTTCTTAAACAAAATATGTTGCAGTTAACATAATTCAGCCAATGATTTAGCTACCCATTGCTTGACTTCTCTGTACTTTTTACTGTCAAATACCAAATCGGTTGTGAGACTGCCATGCCAAATATCCAAGAAAAAAGTTTTCTGCTTGGTGAAATTTTTTTCCATCCTTACTGATATTATGTTGAGATTTGTGTAGGATGGTATCTGCCTCCCTTTTTTTCACAGCTTTCAAAAAAAAAAAAAAAGCAATCCACTCACCCATTTTCATGTCTGATTATAATTGAACTGCGTGTGACAATAAAACTGATGTTGAGGATTCCATTTATTCCCATACAGTAGCTGTTCCTACTTTATTTGAAGTAATTGCTTTTATTTATTAAATGATTTTCTCTCAGACTACACACCTGCTTGTCAATATTCACAGTTTGTTCACTGCCTGGCCCTTTAATGGTAATCTCTGATTAGTCGCTGTGTTCCGAGCCTTTGGAGTTTGTTATGATCTTTTAGAAAGGAAAGAGATGGAGGAGGATTGCGGTTATCTGTAACTAATGAGGCAGGTGGGCTCTTTATGCCAGCTGTGCAAAAAAAGAGTTCAGTGATCTAATCAAATGCCAAATATGAGCTAACGTGTACCGTGGTTATCGAACCCTGTGAGGCTAAATATGAATAAGCATGCATTTTGCTATGGCTGTGACTAACACAGCCATAGATTGATTCCATTTTATTCTGCATGGCTATTTTATCATTAGTTTCATTTGAAAGAGAGAGTAGTAAACCAATTTTTATGGTTACATGACAACAGTGGCAGGGGATGGTAAGTTTTATGAAAGACTAATAGAAGTAGTGATAAGAGCGGTAATTGTAACTTTTTTTAAGAAAACAAGGAAAATGAAATAGAATCTCAGAGAGATTTGTTGCACTAAAAGAATATTGTATAAATCTGGCTGCTGTTTTGCTTTCTCATATGGTATTTGAATGAAGATAGGGCTTTTATTCCTCTAGTTCTGGAAAAAAAGTACTCCCAGGAAAGACAGTATAGTGATTTTTCTATCTAATTTTCAACAAATTTTAGGAAGCCATATTTCCCCTTCTTAAAATGAAATATGAAATACTTTTCAGGAGATACAAATTTAGGGAAATTCAGTGTATGAATCCATATAATTTGAAAATTTCAGGCTCATTTCAAAACTAGATTTTCAGAAATAATCCAACTTTCTTGATAATCCCCCTAGCATAGTTGCCTTTTCAGCTTATTGCTCTCAAGCATCTACACTGTCCCAGCTGCATGCTGCCAAACTCTTGGTTGTCTGATCATTCTGTATATTTGCCTGTGCTTGGTGACTGCTTGGGGCCTGTTTGGACGTATGCCACCTGGACTCCTCTGCAGGGAGGCTCGTGTTCGGAAAGTAGGATAATATACATTTGAGTCCCATTTTCACATGCCTTGCACCTCTACAATGTGAGTACATGTATGCGCTTGGACATTATGCTAAAGTTCTGAAAGGCTGAGAGAGTTGGGGCTGATCAGCCTGGAGAAAAGAAGGCTCTGGGGAGACCTTATTGCGGCCTTCCAGTACCTAAAGGGCGCCTACAGGAGAGCTGGGGAAGGACTTTCTGCAAGGGCATGTAGTGATAGGATGAAGGGGAATGGCTTCAAACTGGAAAAGGAGAGATTTAGATTAGGTATTAGGAAGACATTTTTCACTTTACGGGTGGTAAGGCACTGGCCCCGGCTGCCCAGGGAAGCTGTGGCTGCCCCATCCCTGGAGGTGTTCAAGGCCAGGCTGGATGGGGCTTGGAGCAACCTGGTCTAGTGGGAGGTGTCCCTGCCCATGGCAGAGGGATTGGAACTCGCTGATCTTCAAGGTCCCTTCCAATCTAAACCATTCTATGATTCACTTGAGTGAAAGGTAGTATAGACATAATGGGTTGAAAATGTGCCCCTGTGTAAGATGCATTGCGTGAAGAATAGATGCAGCTTCAGGATGCATTATGGACCCTCAAAGACAGAGAGGTCTCAGGGAGGCATAGGACAAAAAGATATGCTGAAGAAGTAGGTAGTAATGTCCACCAGGGCAGATGTTAGAAATGGAAAAAATGTTTTCGGGAGAAATCAGGCAGCACTGCCTCTGGCTCCCTGCTGAAGATGGGGGTGAACTGCTGCTGCCACCCACCGCGAGGCTGCAAGTCCACATCTTTCAGGTGGGATGCATAGTGGGATTATGCTTTCAGTTGGCTGACCCCTGAGGGTGAGGGAGATGTCTGGGTGCTGAAGGGTCAGCTTACGAATGGAGGACAATCTTCTGTAGGTATGTGACAAGAAGCTAGCAAATGGATCTCTTGCTATACATTCAGCAAGGTTCTTGGAAGCAAATAGTTACTAATTTTATGATATTAAACTATTATGTATTAGATTCTCTTTGCACAGTCATAAATGTTTCATGAAGGGTTTCAACAGAGGGTTGTGTTGTGTTTTTTTTTTCCAAAAAGTTCGTTACACAACAACTGTAATACATGTGTATGATAAAAACACTTAATACTGAAAGGTAAGAGAACACAAGCACCTGGGTCTGCTGAGGCTGTTCCTTTCCTTTGTGTATTCAAAATAATCTGTGAGCTCATCTTCCTGTTTTATCTTAATTTGTTAGGGTAGTTTGTATTGTATGAAAACCTGAGTTTTCTTGCTCTGGGTGGATTTGACTGTAATGTCACTTTGATAAATTTCTTTTTCTCAGAAAATGCAGTGCTACTGTGAAGTGGCTGCTTAGAGTATCACCTTCAAACTCAGACAGTCTGCTCTTTTCATACATTTGGTCATGTCTGTTGATTTCCCTCATTGGCTTCTTTTTTTTCTCCTATTTGTACTGTAAAGGCAACACGCAAGTCTTTGTTCATTCTGTTCCATTTAAGCCCATTAAAACACTTCTCCAGTGCACTGCCTTGGGCTCTCAGGTACACTACAGCAAGGCAAATTTCCTTTCCAATCATAACCACCATAGATGAGCACAGAAAACTGAATTTTAAGGTTAAACAGGCCCTGGGTTTTCACAGGTGTCTTGAATGTTGTTCACGGCAATAAAATAATCAGGTACTTGTTCTGACCTGCGGAATTTTCCCCTGATGGCAGTGCCTCTCAAGGAATAAGCAGAATTTTAGAGCGAAGTCATCTCTAAAATGCATTTTCGATTAGTCCTTTTGTTCCCTCTGTCCCTCTACTCTTTGCCTCATACACTAGTTATTCATAGCCTTTGAGAGTCACTGAGTTACCGCAGTCCAGGTGGTAATTTACCTGCCATACATCACAGAGCAACGTCAAGCCTCCCTCTCGCACATCTATTTCTTGAACCTGTTCTTCTCCCACCTGGAGAGGTGGGAGAATTGAGAGAGATTTAAGTAGTCCTGGAATATATGCCTTGGCACTTCTGAAGGATGAAGTGCCAGATTTTGCAGACTTTCCTAGGAGATGGGGGGTATCGGTTGCAGAAACGCATGAGGAGTCTGTAACTTGTACAGTTTGGCTGCTGTGATAATTTAAAAGTAAAATGAACAAAAACCCCCACCACAACCAGCAAAGACTTCTACTTTTATTTTATTTAAAACCAGAATTGACCGCCTACACGGTGCATTTTTATTGACCAAGTAAACTAGTAGCGACCCCTTTGGCTCATGCAAGAGTTCGAACCACTGTCTCCTTCTCTCTTCCCACTGCCCACTCATCCCATGACTGGCAGCTGAACAGCCAACACCAAGTGTTTAACTCTGGTCTGCAGCTCTTTTACCCCACAGAGGCCGTGCAGGAAAGATCACATCTGCCATCAAGTAGAGAGACTGTTGCCCTTGAGGTCAGAGTCGTGGTCTGGACCTGTGACAAACACAGCAAAGAAGAGGCTGCTGCATTGCTCCTTTGTCTGGAGCGCAGGAACAACTGGCTGGATTCTTTGAAAAACAGTACTTCATTGCATCTGTAATGTTTATCCCCCTCAAGTTTCACTGTGTCAAGAAATATCTCATTAAAAGTCTGTAGGTTTTCCTTTTATTTATTTGTTTATTTTATTTTTTACCTTTCTTTTCTGGCCGTAAGTCTACTGAGGAATTTGGCTTTCTACCACAAAAGCAGCTTTCTTGAGCCTTTAATAAGTGAAGTGGAGTTGCTTTAGGGAAATTTCCTTCCTGATGATGCTTATGTATACTTTTGTGTGTATGTAGGGAGATGTATGTAGGGAGATATGGGAGGCAGATGGTAACAGCTAGTTCTGCAAACTGTGATGTTTATGTCCCGCATATTCATGAATTTTTCAAAATCTGAAATTTCTTGAAGGATCTTAAATTGCATGTTGTAAAATTTGGGGAAAAAATATAGAAAGTTCACTTGGTTTGCTTCTTAAGAGATGTAGAATCTCTGTCTTAACAAACATAGTCTATCCTTGAAGTGTTAAGGTTGCCTTTAAGGGCCCCCAGAGGTGGTGGCACTGTGGCGGGGACCTCCAAGTTACAGCAAGTTCCTATCATGTCTCCTCTTCCTTAACTAATCAATGTGTGTCAGGGGAGAGGATGTAGGGACAGAAGGCTGTGTGTGTCTTTCATCAGCCTGTAATTTCTCTGTTTGGGGTTACAGGCTGCTGTGTGCTATGCAAATGGTAATACAAACGAGAATAGAAGTGGCTTCAGATTTATATATGAATTAAAAATTGTTGGCTTGAGGACTTTGGTAAACCTATACATAGATATGGTTGTTTCTTTGTTTCTAGGAATACACTATAGATATAATTTTTGCCCAGACTTGGTATGACAGTCGTCTAAAATTTAACAGCTCAATGAAGGTGCTCATGCTTAATAGCAATATGGTTGGAAAAATTTGGATTCCAGACACTTTCTTCCGGAACTCAAGGAAATCTGATGCTCACTGGATTACAACTCCAAATCGTCTGCTTCGAATCTGGAGCGATGGAAGAGTATTATACACTCTAAGGTGGGTTTTTATTAGAAAAAAATAAAACTGTTATGACCAGGAATATGAAAAAAAAGAATGTGTATCAAATCCTTGGCATCTCTTTTGTTGTGGACCACAGGAATTTGCAAGGAGTTTAAGAAAGGAAATATATTGCCTATATAATAGGGTAAAGATGATTGAAGGGGACAGCAAATTTTAATCTCATTTAGGTACAGGTAAGATTAAAAAAAAGATGTTGTACGGCACGTAGCACCATGGTGGTCTGTCACTAACGTATTGCAGATCTAGTCATAAATTGTTTTGCAGACTTTCTGTTCTAAATAGTTCGGTATCTAATTTCCACCAAATGATATTCTGTAAGTAAAATATGAAATGCTTCAGATACTAAAAATCATAAGAAGTTTGATTAAAGCTAAGGCCCCAGTCCTGCATATTCTTCTTAACATTTTTACCCTTGCAAGCTATTAAAATCAACAAATCTGTTCATCCAAATTATGCAAAAGCAAACACGTTGGTGATAATTCTTCTTGGCAAATGGGGGATGCTTGGGCTGGTTTTAAGCTTTCCATCTAGGCTATCTGTACTGATCTTTGATGCCATAAATCTGATTCTGCTCTTAAGAGTTTATTTATTTTAACAAAAAGTAGCACCTTTTAATTACCTTCTTTTCAGTCATTTTTACTGTTTTCGTATGGAGGCTAGTTGTGTTGTATGAACAATTTAAAAAGTCTTCTGTATCAGAAATAAGAAGTATTCGGATGTTTCAAAAGGATTCTCTTCACTCAATTTTTTCTTAGTATGCTTCATTTGAGAGCATACAAATATCTCTGAAGAGCGCTTTTTAAACAGTTTATTATGCTGGTGTCTATAAAAATCTCTAAAAAGCCTCTTCTGTTGACATGCTAATATTTCTTTATTTTTATTTTATTAGCTAACAATTCTAGAGTCATACTCGGACTTTATCATTCCATTGTCCATTCAGTTTCAGTGTACAATTTCTTTTAAATAGGGTTTAAGTAACACAGAGAAACAAACAAACGCTACCAAAAATCCATCTGAGCTCTCCCAGAGCAATAGGTTAGAATTATTGTGCTAGCGTATGAGCTGCGAAGGGCAACGAGCTAGTAATAAACCAGCAGAACCCAGCACTGTAACATGTAAACATCTGTATAGGTGAGGATATGGCCTGAATTTGGCTGAAGATGGAATAATATTGAGAGATTCGTATGTTGGTTATTGAAGGAACAACAATAGGATCTGA